CTCCATGGTCATGTGATCAAAATACATTCGTTTAACGACCACACGATTCACTGAACAACTTAACACTTTGGTTAACAATCGCAGCAATTCGGCTAACTGTGGTAAAACGCTTTGTGCAAATGAGGCACAACTCAGGCACGACTCACCAAACTGCCTCACTTAGCAATGAAAATTTTGGACTCAACTGTGATCGTAAGCCGAGGACTATCTGTATTTGATATTAAAGTTCCTTAGGATAGAAAATTCTATCAGAAAGATCTTCTCTCAGTCACCGATATTTTTTGGGATGGGAAACTCGGTGGTGGAATTCCCAAACGGGCTTTTTTTTCAAGAGGCAACTGGAATTCCTTTGTTTTTTCTCGAAGACGTTTCACTTCTCAACCAAGAGGCTTCTTCAGTTCTGGGCTTCAGTTCAGTTCTTCAGAACTGGAGAAGCTTCTTGGAGGAGAAGCGAAACGTCTTCAGGGAAAAACAAAGAAAGACCAGTTGCCTTTTCAAAAAAAGCACCTTTGGGACCCCCCATGACCCTAGACCAGGGCTTTTCAACCTTTCCACCCATTGTACCACTTTTAGGATATGGCAACATCCAAGTACCACCAGCAAGGTGTCAAAAACTTGATGACCAAAAAAAAAAAAAGGAAAAAAGTGATAAAGTACAGGTAGTCCTCGACTTACAACATTTCACTTAGTGACTGTTCGAAGTTACAATGGCACTGAAAAAAGTGCCCCCCAAGCCACAGCCGAGCAAGACACCTGCCTGCCCACCCGGCGGCGCTCTTCCTCCTGTCCGAGGTTTTCATTGTTGTGAGCATTTCTGTTGAGAATTGGCAGTGGGGGTGGGGTGGGGGGTGTTTCGTTTTTATTCCCCCGTCTGCTGGGTGGTTGCAGCAGGTTTTGGTCACTTCACATGACCCTGGGACACTGTGACCGTCGTAAATATGAATCGGTTGCCAAGCATCTGAATGTAAATCACAAGACCCTGGAGATGCTGCAACATTCCAGCTGATCGGCGCTTCTTCTGGGCTCAGCAGAAGCGCCAGGATCAGCGCTGAGCTCCAGCTGGAGCCTGGCACTGATCCTGGTGCTTCCGCTGAGCCCTGACAGCCCCAAAGAAGCGCCAACTAGCTGGAAAGCAGCACTGATCCTGGCGCTTCCGCTGAGCCCTGACAGCCCTGCAGCTCCAGCTGTCTCTCGCTCAGGCTTGTGTGGTGCTGCCACCGGTTCAGCTCATTCCCTTCCCCCACTACCACTTTTCTAGGATGTCATGTACCACCTTCCAGGTGCCAATGTACCACAGGTGGTACCCGTACCACTGGTTGAAAAGCCCTGTCTAGATGACTGAGAATCTCCATAGACATTCGGTGGTGGAACCCTCCCTTCCATGTCCTGTCTAGCTTTCATGCCAGACATTTGAACCCTGAACATCTCAGCAGGACTTCGATGGTGTAGATGGTGGCCTGGGTTCAACCTTCCCATGTATACCTGTGTTTCTACCTGCCTTCGGAAGCCAATTATCGTGGTTTGTTGGAGTGTTCTCATTTAACTTCCTTTTCTTTTGATCTCTCTCTCTCTCTCTCTCCCCTCTCCCCCTAAACCCCAATTCTCTGGGATGGGGCCTGTTCTGTCGGTTTTCCTACCTGGTCTCGTCCCAAATGTCTCCACCCACCTGATGTATAGAGGAAACTACGCTGGGATATGTGAGGAACCAATTGGCATCCTGGTTTGATTTGAATACTAAATTGTGTGAGCTTCTTCTGCTGGTGCTCAAAGATGCATGGGAAGGACTCCGTGGCGTGGGTCAGCTTGCCCTTCCTCTAACCCAGCTGGCGTGGTTTAGGGTTGGCTTCTGTGGCAAACACGGGGTTCTGCGTCTGTGGTCCTCTTCCCTCGCCAAAGTAGACCTGCCAATGATGGCGAACATTAGGAGAACATCTGGAGTAGGTTTCCGAGGAGCGGACCCAACCGCTGGACTCAACTTGATTAAGTAACTTCTGGAGACCATCAACATGATGAGGTGACTCCATGGACTCAGAAGGTCCATTGGAAGGGCTGGGAAGGAGAAGAAGCTCAAGTCGCTGCTTCCATTCCAGACAGCCTCCATCTTAGGTGGCCTCAAACACAGGTCTGATATTCATGGCTGCACTTGAGATACTTTAAGATGGTAGAGTTCAGCAGAAGACAACGGAGGCTGTCTAGCAGCCTTGTTTTTAAGGGAGTGGACACAGAGAGAGTGTAACATGTAGCTTGGCCCTGTTCTGTCTCTTGAAAACAAAGCACGAGAGGCTTTTGGTGAGGTGGAAACTCGAGATGGGTTCCACCTTGAGGTGGAAAAGAGCCATATTAAGTAATTTGGCGGGTTGGTTGAGGGCCTATAGCAGTGTTTTTCAGCTTTTAAGATGTATGCACTTCAACTCCCAGAATTCCTCAGCCAGCAAACATTTATCTACACTACAAAACAGTGTTTCTCAACTTTAAGATGTGTGGACTTCGACTCCCAGAATTCCCCAGCCAGCCATGAGGGAATTTTAAACCGGTGATGCCAAATTAACCCAAATGCGGATCTGATTCACCTTGTTACCCGTCGACGCTGTCAGGGGATTTTACAAATTTATTTGGATTCCCGATGGTTGGAATATCTTGCTTTCTGTCTGTCTGTCTGTCTCCCTGCCTGTTGCTTTAAAACCAGCCTGGCCACGTTTTGCAGCTTTTGAACAGCACCCGCTTTGGTTTGTGTGGACATTGTTAAAAAACAACAACAGCATCCTCTTTTCTCGCAAAACTCTGGGATTGAGGGCGGGGAAGGAATCCGCGGGTCTCCTTGGGCCCAGCCCAACCAACCACACAGAATTGGCAGGAGGGTGGATGCATTTCGTTGTCCTGGTTCGGTTCCCAGGAACCTTCTCTGAGACAGGATAGGGTGGCAGCCTCCAGGATTGGGGCGGATCAGAATAAGGCCCTTCTTGAATAAATTCTTTTTGAGTTTTTCAAACTTCTGGCCAATCTCCTCCTCCACTGCTCCTGTTGTCTCCCTTCCCTGTATAATTATTATTGGCAGTTCTGAACTGTCGGAGGGTCCGGATTTTCATCGCTGTCATTCTCATAAAAAAAAAACTTGTGCCCGCGGAATTGTCACCGGCTGGAGAGCTGACTCCTGCTTTTTTCAAAATTTGGGGTGCTTGGTGGTCTCTGAGGTTGGTGGTTTTCTTGCAGACGTTTCATGACCCAACTAGGTAACGTCATCAGTGCACTGAAGATGTTGCCTTGTTGGGTCATGAAACATCTGCAAGAAAACCGCCAAGCACAGAGACCACCAAGGAGCTCATAGTCCTCCTACTACTACTACTACTACTACTACTATTACTACTACTACTACTACTTCCCCCCCACATCCCACAGTCCCTTCTAGCACTGATGATATTACCTAGTTTAAGTCATGAAATGTCTTCAAGAAAACCACCAAGCTCAGAGAGCATCAAGGATCCCACAGTTCTCCTCCTCCTCCTCCTCCTCCTCCTCCTCCCCCCTACTAATCCTACTCCTCCTCTCCCCCTACT